GATGAGGGGGATGGTGATGATGGAGGGAGGGTGGCAGTGGATGGAGGTGGGACAGTGGGAGGATGGAGATGGGATTGAGGCAGATGATGGGATGGATGGAGATGGGATGAATGGAGGTGGAACGGATGGAGATGGGATGGATGGAGGGAGATGGACGGAGATGGGATGGACGGAGATGGGCTGGACGGAGATGGGATGGATGGGATGGAGATGGGATGTGCCGTAGCCCTCACTATTTTACAACTGTGTGTGGGGGCTGGGCTCGGACACAGCCTGAGCTCAGAGGGTCAAAATAGCGCAGACTAGCTGGGCTGACGCAACCAGTCATGGGACTGGATAAATGAAAGTATTCTACCAATAAAAGACAAAAACATGCTGCATACACATTGGAGRCTGCCTAGCCATGTGATCTGGCTGAGGCATGTTTGATTGGTGTGTTCTCAAAACCCGGGAAAGATAAGAAAAGTGTATAAAAAAGCATGCAGTAGCAGTGAGAGGGGAGCGAGGAGAGCTAAGAGGTGACAGCTGCAATCACTAAGAGAGACAGAGAGCAGAGCTGAATATCACTATATCTAAGAGAGCCTGAAAATCCGAAGAATTAATAAAGAAGAACCTGCCCGCCTGCCTGTCTCGTGTCGTCTTTCCCTCCCGGCGCGGCGGGACGGGGGCTCCGGGCAGTTACATCTGGTGACCCCGACTGAACCAATGGTCAGTGAGCCAAAATTCAATAGGGATGGGATGGAGATGGACGGAGATGGGATGATGAGATGGAGATGGGAATTGATGGAGATGGGATGGACGGAGATGGGACGGACGGAGATGGGACGGACGGAGATGGGATGGATGGATGGAGATGGGATGGACGGAGATGGGATGGACGGAGATGGGATGGACGGATGGATGGATGGATGGATGGATGGATGGATGGATGGATGGAGATGGAAGGTGTGGGTAGAGTGGGAATGGATGGATATGGGATGAGTGGAGGTGGAACGGATGGAGATGGGACGGATGGAGGGAGATGGGATGGATGGAGGGAGATGGGACGGATGGAGATGGGACGGACGGAGATGATGGGATGGAGATGATGGGATGGAGATGATGAGATGGGATGGATGGAGATGGGATGGATGCAGATGTAATGGATGGAGATGGATGAAGATGATGGGACAGAGATGGAATGGATGGAGATGGAAATATATGGAGATGGGATGGATGGAGATGGGACAGACACAGGCAGAGCTGGGCTGCTCTCCCCCTTTTCCCGTATCCGGGATGCACCGTGGGATGTTCCCAGCCCAGCCCCCGCTCTCCTCCCGCTCCCGCCTCTCCCTTTTGTTCCCCCTCCTCCTCCTCCTCCTCCTCCTCCTCCAGCTCGTTCCCAAGGAGCTTCCCCATCAAACTGCGGGAAACCATGGAAACCGCCCGCTCCTGTCGGAATCCAGGCAGGAAAAAAATGGGAAAAGGGCGGGATGGACCAGCCCACCCCATCCCTTTATCCAAGGAATCACAAGGACTCACCTGGATTTGGGAAAAAGCCGCTTGGACGGGATTAACCTGGATAAAAAACCCCGAAATTCCTCCACTTCCCAACACCCAATCACTGGATTCCTGGAGCTGGGAATTCAGGGGGAAAAAAAAACCCCAAACCTTTGGAGGGATAAAATTGTGAGAAAAAGCATGGAGGTGGGATTTTCTCAGGGATGATCCCGCTGTGGGATTTTCCCATTTCAGGAGCTGGGATTAGGATCGCTGAATTCCCAGATCCCTGAAAACTGCGGGAAAAGCCCCTAAAATGGTTTAAATCCCTCATTTTTATCTCCTGACAAAAATCATCCTCCCCAAAACCTTCCCAGCCTGGATTTGTGATGGAGAGGGGTGGAAAAAGTCGGGATTTGGGAATGGAACCACACGGGAAGAGTTTATTAATATTTATTAATGATAAAAGCCTGAAGCACTACAAAAACACATTCTTCTTGTCCCCGCTGCTTTTGGGTTTTTTTTGTTTTTCTTTTCTGGGAAAAGCACCTGAAAAGCTTTTCCAGAAAAGGACCTGGAGAACCACCCCCGAAAAGATGGGAAAGGACTTGGAGAAGCCCCCCAAAAAGCTGGAAAAGGATCTGGAGAACCCTCGCAGAAAGGCTGGAAAAGGTCCTGGAAAAGCTCTCCAGAAAAGCAGGAAAAGCACCTGAAGAACCCACCCTGAAAAGCTGGAAAAAGACCTGAGAAAGCCCTTCCTGAAACGTTGGAAAAGGATTTGGAAAAGCCCGCAGAAAAGCTGGAAAAAGACCTGGGAATGCTGGGAATGCCCGCCCAAAAAAAAAAATGGAAAAGGACCTGGAAAAGCCCCCCCAAAAAACTAAAACGCCCCCAGAAAAGCAGGAAAAGCACCTGAAGAATGCCCCCTAGAAAATCTGGAAAAGGACCTGGAGAACCCTCCTGAAAAGCTGGGAAAGGACCTGGAAAAGCCTCCCAGAAAAACTGAAAAAAGACCTGGAAAAACCCCCCAGAAAAACTGAAAAAAAAAGACCTGGAAAAGCCCCCTAGAAAAACTGAAAAAAGACCTGGAAAAGCCCTCCAGAAAAGCTGGAAAAAAACCTGGAAAAGCCACCCAGAAAAGCAGGAAAAAGACCTGGAAAAGCCCTCCAGAAAAACTGAAAAAAAGACCTGGAAAAACCCCCCAGAAAAACTGAAAAAAGACCTGGAAAACGCCCCCTGAAAAGCAGGAAAAGCACCTGAAGAACACCCCCTAGAAAATCTGGAAAAGGACCTGGAGAACCCCCCCAGAAAAGCTGGAAAAGGCACCCCAAAAGTCTGGAAAACGACCTGGAGAACCCTCCTGAAAAGTTGGGAAAGGACCTGGAGAAGCCCTTCCCAGAATATCTGGGAAAGGACCTGGAGAACCCCCCCCTAGAAAATCTGGGAAAGGACCTGGAGAACCCTCCTGAAAAGTTGGGAAACGACCCGGAGAACCCCACCTAGAAAATCTGGGAAAGGACCTGGAGAACCCCACCAGAAAAGCATGAAAAGGCCCCCTGAAAATCTGGAAAAGGACCTGGAGAACCCCCCCTAGAAAATCTGGGAAAGGACCAGGAGAACCCCCCCAGAAAAGCTTGAAAAGGCCCCCTGAAAATCTGGAAAAGGACCTGGAGAATCCTCCTGAAAAGTTGGGAAAGGACCCGGAGAACCCCACCTAGAAAATCTGGGAAAGGACCTGGAGAACCCCCCAGGCAATGGGACACCCCTAATCCGGGATATCCTCGTGGACGCGGACCCGGAGTGGGCAGATCCGCAGCGTCTTGGCTTTGGCGTCGCCCTGGGCCTCGCCCACATAGAAATAGGGGAAAACGACGCCTCCGAATTTCTCGTGGAAGGTGTAGACGTGGCTGCGGCGCTCGGCGTCGTAGAAGGACAGCTCGCCCTCGGTGCAGTCCAGCTCCACCCGCACGCGCCGCAGGTTCCCCGGCGCCGCCTCGGAGCGCACGGCGTTGGAAGCACGGCACTCGTCCTTCCCGGGGAGGTGGTAGATATACCAAAAACCCGACTGGGAATCGTGGTGGAACGTCCAATGGGAGCCGCGCTGGGGCCGGGACACGCCCACTCTCCAATTGGTCAGCCCGCCCAGGTCCACCTCCCAGGTGTGGAAGCCCTCGGAGAAGCCGCGGGATCCCAGCACGCAGGGGGCGGAGGTGAAGCGCTCCGGGTTCTCCACGGAGAGTTTGAAGCCGCCGCTGGAGACACTGGAGAGGTCCTCGGACACGGAGAGCCAGCCCGCGGCCGAGTTGGGGTCCAGGCTGAACGGGACTGGGGGGGAATGGGAATGATTTATGGGAGGGTCATGGCTCAGTGGGGATCCATGAACCCCTCCATGGATCCTGGATCCACCCATCCCTCCATGGAATCCTCCATGGATCCTTCCTCCATGGATCCATTCTTGGATCCATCCATCCCTCCATGAACCCCTCCATGGATCCATCCATGAATCCATCCATCCCTCCATGGAACCCTCAATGAATCCTTCCTCCATGGATCCATTCTTGGATCCATCCATCCATTCCTGGATCCATTCATTCCTCCATGGAATCCTTAATGGATCTTTCCATCCATGGATCCATTCCTGGATCCACCCATCCCTCCATGTAACCCTCAATGGATCCTTCCCTCCATGGATCCGTCCATCCCTCCATGAACCCCTCCATGGATCCATTCCCGGATCCACCCACCCCTCCACGGAATCCTCAATCGATCCTTCCTCTATGGATCCATTCTTGGATCCATCCATCCATCCGTTCCTGGATCCACCCATCCTTCCATGGAACCCTCAATGGATCCTTCCATCGATGAATCCATCCATCCCTCCATGAACCTCTCCATGGATCCATTTCTAGATCCACCTATCCCTCCATAGAGCCCTCAATGGATCCATCCATTCCTGGATCCATCCATCCCTCCATGGAGCCCTCAATGGATTTGCCCCCTCCCTCCATGGAACCCTCAATGGATCCTTCCATCCATGGATCCATCCATCCCTCCATGGATCCATTCCCGGATCCACCCATCCCTCCATGGAGCCCTCAATGGATTCACCCCTCCCTCCATGGAACCCTTAATGGATCCATCCATCCATGGATCCACCCATCCCTCCATGGATCCACCCATCCCTCCATGGATCCATTTCTGGATCCACCCATCCATCCATGGAGCCCTCCATAGATCCTTCCATCCATTCCTGTATCCATCCATCCCTCCATGAATCCCGCTATCCATGGATCCACCCATCCCTCCATGGATCCATTCCTGGCTCCACCCATCCCTCCATGAACCCCTCCATGGAGCCCTCAATGGATCCATCCATTCCTGGATCCATCCATCCCTCCATGGATCCATTCCTGGATCCATCCATCCCTCCATGGATCCCTCCATGGATCCTTCCATCCATCCATGGACCCCTCCACAGACCCTTCCATCCATGGATCCATCCATCCCTCTATAGATCCATCCATCCATTCCTGGATCCACCCATCCCTCTATGGATCCATTTCTCCAGGACCAACCACTCCTGGAACATCCATTCTTTCATTGGAATTCCAGCTCCATGTTTCTCATCTTTCCACTCACATCCATCCTTTGAGGAGAAATCCAGCTCCACATTTCCCACCTCTCCAGACCCCACACCC